TGAGCCGACTGTTATCTATGGAGGGCAGCATTCTAATCCAGGTCTATTWCAACCTCTTCTCTGATGAGACTGAAAGTTAATTGGAAAGGTTTTTTTTGTTTGTTTCTGTTGAAGCCCTGTTTTGGGATGCTTTATAAGCTTCAACCAAATTTCAGAATCCCAGACCTGAACTTCCCAAGAAGTTTGCAGAGTGGCCATGAGAACATCTAGGCATGAACCCTGGGCTTCTTACATTCAGTGGGTGTGGACTGGGTGCTGTCTGTCGGGTGGGTCGTTGGTAGGTTGAAGTGCTGCTAAGAAAACTTGTTGGATGGTGTCACTATGCTATAGAAATCTGAGTTCCAAAAGTCTTTCCCTATTGAACAAAACAGAAGCCAGGTCTAGAGCATTAGAGACAATGAAGTCATCATCTTAAGAAGTCATTACAGATTTTTATTTATTTTGTATAGTTTATTTTTTGCTGTGCTAGGGAACGAACCTAGGGCCTTGCACATGCTAAACAAGCCCTCTACCACTGAGCTAAACCCACAGCCATAAAATCATATTTGTTTTAGATTGAGGTGAGCAGAGAAACCAAATATACAAGCCAGGCCTGGGGGTGTCGCTCCTTGCTAAGGCACATACTGAGCATGTGCAAGGCCCTGGGTTCCATCCCCAGCACCACATGAAAAACAAAACAATAACAACAAAAAATACAACACACAGTACTTYAAGGAAAGAAGGTTCAGGCTGTGAAACCAAACCAACATTGAGCTATTCTGCATCCTCAGAGGACTCGAGATCAGGGCCAGAGTCCACCCCACCCCAGACTAGGCAGGGGGCACCTGCTGGGATTTGCTTAGTCACGTGTAGTGAATGCTGTCCGTGGTCCAGGCACTCTACTCCACAGGGTAAACTGTCCTGCTTAGAGAGGTTGACTGAGAGATCAGGGCCTCCCAGAGCAAAGCTGAGCTGGGCCTCAGTCTCTGGGCTCCCTAGAAGTCTGGAAGGTTTGGGGTGTGAAGTGAAGTGGGAAGAGAACAATTTGAACATTCCTGCACTGGCCTCTGTGATTTCCATAGTGGTTGTACTAATTTACAATCCCACCTGCAGTGTAGAAAATGTTCCTTTTCTCCACATCCTCTGCAGCATTTATTATTAATCTGTTGTTGTTGTTGTGGCAGTGCAGGGGACTCAACCCAAGAAAAGCACTCTACCCCTGGGCTAGACTGCCCACCTTGTTCATATTCTTGGTAGTTGCCATTCTGACTGGAGTGAGCTGAAACCTCAATGTAGTTTGGATTTGCATTTCCCTAGTTGCTTATGATGTTGAACATCTCTTCATGTATTTGTTGACCATTTGTATTTCTTCTTTGCRGAAGTGTGTGTTCAGTTGACTTGTCCATTTATTCACGGGGTTATTTGATTTTGAAGTGTTAGGGGGTTTTTTTGTTGTTGTTATTTGTTGTTCTTTTTTTGCAGATTGCATTTCTTACCTGATGTGTGGGTTATGGTGATAATAACGGTTGCCTGGGTTACTTTTCAGGGACATGAAAGTTGCTTTTGCTGAACTGACTCTTCCCTTGGGCCCACAGATGTCTGGATTGGAACCTCTGTTTTCATATTATGTCCGATCCCTTTTGCCTTAAGTTTTGTGTTAGAGTCTACTCGGTCCTGCGTGTAGACTGTTGGTGGCAAGTTGGAGCTGCTAAGCATATTCCTCGGCAATCCAAGCACCCAAAGTCCTCCAGTTCTATCCTAAGGCCCAGAAGGAACCTGCGCACACACAGATGGAGAAGATGCCGGTGCCCACTCCAAAAAGACAAGCTGATGGTGACCGCCCCGTTCTCAGCCTTGTGCAAGAAGAGCAACTTTTGGACTTGTTCCCTCGGCCAGTGGAAATCATAACTCTAACCGTCCCAGCAAATCCATACAAGCTTGTACCTCCCTTTGTTCAGGAAGCACCCCGGTGCCCCTTTCCATCACTACTGTGTCCCTTCAGCCGAAACCCAATTAAAGCCCTGCCTGTATTGTGCTCACCAGACTCAATTTGGGTTTTATTTTCTGTCATCCACTCAAAAGTTCCTGTCTCTGATGTCATTTGTCATTTCAAGGTATGGTTTTCTACATGTTTAATGAAGGACTCAGAATCTGTCAGGTAAAGCAAACCAAGTGCTGTAACTGTCTGATGAGTGGCCCCAAAATTTGGCAGGTGAGAACATCATCATTTATTATTTCCCAGTTTTTGTGGGTCATGAATCTTGGTGTTTTTGAAGGGTCAGGGTCTCTCCTGAGGTTGCACCTGAGCCATTGATGAGGCCTTCCCTCTACCTCAAGCTCCCTTGTATGGCTGGAGCGAGCTCAGGGGCTCCAGTTCTGCACCCTAGAGCCACTCCCAAGGTGACTCCATCCAAGGGAGTGACCTAAGACAGAGACCCTGAGAAAGTAACCCACAGAAAGCTGCAGGCCTTCAGAGCCTAACTTTGGGAATGAGATACTGAGGCTTCGGCCACATACATTGGCCACATGGATCCATGTGGGGAAGGCACACAGGGGTGACCACCAGGAAGCAGGGGTGGTCCAGACAGTGTGGCAGCTGGTCACTATTCCACCCCACTTGCTCTACACACATGCAGGACCCACAGAGGAGTCCATCTGTCTAGGACACAGAGCAAAACAAAGACCTGAGATGGGATGAGCCAGTCAGTACCCAGTCAGTACCCTCAACCCCACACATACTGGGTCACTAGTCATGGAGCAGGGGGATGAGATTGATGTAAATTCATTCTATCTTGGTAGGAGGCTGAATCACTTCTAATGGTAAATTTATTCTGTTGTTTTTGTATATGAAGCAAACTCATAACCAGGCAAATAGTATGTAATGTGTTTGAGAGGCCAGATGATATAAACCAAGTAGGACTCACTGAATTATCAATTAGTAAAGATCACTGCAGTTTCATGTGTGTTATTAAGTAGCTGTGCAATATCAGATGAGTCACTTCTCTGAGCTTATATCAACTAAAAGTGTCCTATTAGGTGATTTATACTAATGCTGCCACTTCTAAAAATGTTGGTTGATGTTCTGACGATCACAGAACATTCCCAGGGAGATACAGAGGAATATTATCTGTGTAATTTAATTACCTTTCTAAAATAAGAGAAATGCCTCATAAATGGGCTTACAATCTGAGTGACATTTTAAATAGAGTAAGATTATGACAGCTCTCACTTACAGTAAACTGGACACCTGGGATAGGTGAGCCTCGAGTGAGAGGGTGGTGGACCATCCCTGCAGAGACCCCTTGTTGAGGGGAAGAGGGTGCTGCAGCCCTTGGCCGTGTCTATCCCCACAGGACTATGAGGTTGCATTGTGTGTGTTTTGTTTCGTTTTGATTTTTTGGTACTAGGGATTAAATCCAGCAGCACTTTGCCACTGAGCTACATCCCCAGCCTTTTTTATTTTTATTTTTTATTTTGAGACAGAGTCTCRCTAAGTTCCTGACACTGAACTCAAACTTGTGATCCTCCTGCCTCAGCCTCCCAAGTTGCTGGGTTTACAGGTGTGTACCACCATACCCAGCCCTGTTTGTGTTTCATTTTTAAGAGCCTTATGTAGATACACTTTACATGTCATAACATTCACCTGCTGCACGTGAAAATGTACCATCTAACAATTTTTAGTCAATTTACAGTCATGCAAACATCACTGCCATCTAATTCTTATCACTCCCCAAAGATCCCTCAAGTCCACTTGTGGTCAGTTGTTCCAACTCCCAGCCTTGGGCAACCACTCCTCTATTGGTCTCTGCAAGTTTGCCTTTTCTAGAAATGTCATGTAGCCACAAAATATGTCGTCTTTGGCATCTGACTTCTCTCTCCCATAGCAAAAAAGTTTCGAGGTACATCCGTGTTGGAGTGCATGCAAGCAATTTGTTCATTTTGTTCCAAATACTCTTCCACTGTATGAATGTGTCACCCAAATCTCTTCACTACTCAATGGGCATTTGGATTCTTCATGTTGAGGCTCCTAGGAATAATGCTGCTATGAACACTGGTGTAGTGATCTTTGTGGGCCTGTTTCCATTTCTCTTGGATTTATATTTAGCAGGGGGATTGCTGGTCATACAGAATAAACCCTGTGCATAACTTTTCAAAAAGCTGCCCCACGTTCCCTGAGTGGCCACACCATTTTATAATCCTATCACACAGCCTCAACATGCTCAGTGACCTTGTAATTGTTTGTCCTTTTTAATTATATCAACAGGCAATGATGGACAGTAGCAGAGTGTGAACTGGGGAGTTCCTGCTATCTATCAGGGAGGACTCCTGCTCCTGAAGACCCTATCCTGGCTAACAATAAGAATTTGGGTTAGTAGCTGGGGAAACAACTATTTTTCTGGGCCAAATTCTTCCTCACTTTACAAAGAAGCTTAGTTCCATGGATGGACTTTAATGCTACTTTTTTTTTTTTTAATGATTAAGGTGACCCAATGCAAAGTCCTAAAAAATGCACCCACCCATCTCAAATAATTCATCTTATTGCACAAGTACTGCTTGCATCGTGGCTAACAATGAGACCTCAGAAGTAGATACACTGCATCTTAGATTCATATGAAATATCTTTGATCGCTTTCTAACGCTTTTCTTATGATAATGCATACTGCAGGCAAGAAAAGCCTTCGTACTTTATTCAGGAAAAAATTCTGCATCCTTTTCCTCTACATTTTATTTAAAGGGTATCTACAGCTTATGTACAAATAGATGTTCAAAAATGCTCACTGTAATTCTTAGAAGCTATCTTACTTACTAAGTATAGTGGTTGCTCAGTTGAAATTTGCTGAATGAATCTGCCCTAAGAATAAATTTACTTTTTCTCAGGRGCTAAAATGATACAACATAATGACTGAGTGTGGTAATAAAATTTTGTCAATTTTATTAAAAGCAGATTCCATTTCTTCACATAGTTAATTCAGTTTCTTTCCTTTTTTTAAGCCTATTTCATTGTATTATTTTATAAGAGTGAGTTGGTTCACTAATCAGACACGTATAAAGTTAGCACCACACATCTACAAATCTATAAATGCAGGTAGCCACAATGACCTTTCCAATATGTACACACTCCTGTACACATCCACACATATATTTACAGCTCATAAATAAAATTTAAAGGCAAAGCATCATTGATATATATTTATATATATTATATATATAGCAAATCTTTAGAAGCAGAGTTCCCAAGCCATGCATGGACTTGCTCAATCTTTTACGTTTATGCACCCTTGATTAAAACCCAAATCCAAAAAAAATCAATGAATTAGCAATAAAGGGGGATACCAGTGACCAATCATACATTGTTTTATTGTTAGAATTCATTCCAAGCCTGATGTAGTCAATCACAACATTTGTCCTACATTATTTAGGCATAATATCTTTCTCCAATAGAGGGATGACATTCTGGTGCATCTGGAACTATTTCTACTCTGACATGTTCTAATACCGTCCTTGACTGTTCACCTTCCAAATCACACTGCATGACAGACACACAGGTGGGGCTTTATAGGCATGTGTTCATTTACCCACACACTTTCACAGTTTGGGTTCCCAGCAATAACCTCCAACATATCTGACTTCTTAATCATTTTATAATACACAGAAAAGCATTCAGAAGATATGAGATCTAGTCCATAAATAATTGTTCACTCACTCTTGATTCATTGTTAAAAAAAAAAAAACAATGATAACAATACTCCTGGCACTTCATATGGTGACAACAATCAAGGATTCTCTTTCTTGCACTCAATGGTTTATAAGCACTGCTTATGCATATAACCCGGTAACTTTTCCACCTTTTGATACTTAAGAAAAACAATTTTTGTTTAAGGTTTGCAGTTCACGTGACACAAAATTTGAATTTTTAACACATCTAAGCCAGAAATGAAAGTTTTTTCATGCTTCAAGTATGATTGAGGCATGACTGAGATGAGCCCAAATCTCAATAGCAGCCATCAGATAGGAAACGATTTCAAATTGATGAAAATAATCTGAAAAATGTGATAATAAAATCATAGTATTGTTTTCTTTCTGCACCAAATTCTGTGTCAGCTGAGGATTGTTGGTTTGTTTTTGGAGAACATTGTAAAAATATAATATTAAGACAAAGGAAAAAAGGAACAGAGATTAAGCAATAAAATATAAAAATCTATTAAAGAATTAATGGATCTGAACTTTGTATGTTTTGCTTATAACTTTGTCATGATGCAAGCCAAGAGTTGGGCCAAGGCTTAGGACTTTATCAGCCCCATTCTCTGTTCCTCTCCAAGTCGCATTTCCCTGGTTAACTCCTGGGCCACATCCCAATGGCAAGAGAAATATTCCAAAAGATCAGGTGTTTTGACTGCTAAATAAACAGATCTGACTCATGCCACAGGGAACCATCTTCTATATTCAGACTTGGAGAAAAGTTTGAAAAGGCCTCAGTCCAAAAAAATCCAGAATTCTAATTAAAATAGGAGGGTCTAACTAATTTTAGACTATGGCCAACGCACCACCTGAAGGAGCCTTATCTTACTACACACAGGGACAATTGTTCCTTCTCAGAGGGTAGAATGCAGTGCTTTTCACGTGTACTGTCTTAGCACAGCAAGATGAGCAATTTGGCCTCAAATTCAATTAGCCACTTTTTTAGACTGTATTTTGAGACTGTTTCCTAATTGAACTAACAAGGATATAGCTTTGGATTAATACTTTTTTAGGACAAGTCCACTTTTAAACACCCACTTTTAAACACTGGGCATCTTTTGTAAAATTTACTTCATTTGCTTCATTCTTCACAGAATTCTTGTGTTCTTCTTTCTGTGGACTTTTCCAGTGTCTAAGAAGAAAAAAAAAAAGAGAAAGAAAGGCAATTTATTATCTGCTTAGTATTTTACAAACTCTTCTCAACCCCTCTGCACCATTTAAGAGAAAAAAAGTATTCGACTGGGAATTTGGAACAAAGTATGTGAGGCTAAGCCCCTGGGAGGTGTAGATAAAAGATCAGAGACAGCAGAGGTTCCTGGGACTAAGAGATACTCTGACATCTATTTAGCTAAGTCCCAACAAAAAGTATCATTTTTAGTTGCCGGAGCCAAATGATTTCAAAAGTTAGGAAGTTTTCTTACTTCCAAAACGTATCCAATGAAAATCCTGTTTCGTTCTTTCCCTGTGATCTGAGCCTTCTGAAGACTTGACGGAAGATACTAAAGAGAGCCTTTTGTTTGGTTGATTGATTTTGGTCCCAGAGGAAAGAAACTGCAGAAGACCATAAGTCTGATTCATAATTACTTCCTAAAGTTAAGATCTATTAAAAAGGAAAAAAATACTGCCTAAATACTTGTCGTTTCAGTAATCAGACAAAAAAAAAAAAAAAAAGAAAGTATTGTTAGACTTTCTCAAATAAATGCTTGTCACCTATACCTAGTATGGCCAGAAGTACTTTATAAATGGCTGGAGCTATTTCCTGATTGGGGACTTCATTTTCATATTTCCAAGTTGCAGACGATCTGGGGAGAATGAATCCATGTGTGTATGTATGTGTATGTATGTGTGTGTGTGTGTGTGTATGTGTGTGTGTATGTGTGTGTGTGTGTTGTTTGTAACACAAATGTGCAAATGTGTAAGGCTTCACAGCAGAGGCCCTTTCTAAGCATAGAAGAACTATGGAGTTCCCTCAGATGTGTGAGGAGTAGAAATGGAGCAAAGAGCCGATCACAGAGAAGCCTCCCCTGGTTAAGGACAGAGCTGTTCTGCCAGGCTCACAACCAGCGACGGTCCTCCATTTCATTGGGAATGTCTTTCCTTCTGTGTTTTTGATCCAGATGGACTTATCTTGTCACTCAAAATGTGTATGCCATGTGGGCTGGGGTTGCAGCTCTGTGGTAGAGCTCTTGCCTAGCATGCGTGAGGCACTGGGTTCGATCCTTAGCACCACAAAAAAATAAATAAATAAAACAAGAGGTATTGTGTCCATTCACAACTAAAATTCCATTTTTATAAAACATAAAAATATATAAATAATAGGTAACTATAAAGCGTGCAAGGATATAAATCAAAATGTGAGTTGGGGCTGTCAGCGGGTGGCAGGGTCACGGTGATTTTCTTTGTGTCAGTTTTTCCTAATCTATTCGTAGTGAGCACGTATAAATGATAAAATAGAAGTTTAAAATGATACAGATGTTCCAGGCAAGGTCTTCCGGAGACTTTTTCTGAYGAGGCCATTCTTACTCTGCACTTTCGTCTCTAACCCTAACTGGGAAAAGAGGACAAACTAAAGCCAGTTGCTTTTTGTATTTCCCCATGAAGTGGTGACCGGCCTTTGTCATTGTTTCTTGTGTCACTGGCTTGTGTGACATGGTCCTGTGTTCCTCCCTTTTTTAAGTGTGAGCCATTAGCACTTGGCATCTGGCAGGGGAGCCAGGGCAGGAATGAAAATGGCAGATCCCGAGAGCTGACGGAGGCTGGGCGGGGGAGGGACAGTCACATGCTCAGTCCCCACTTAGCGCTGACRTTCTGGAAAGATTCCGCTGACAGCTGCCATTCGGATTAGCCTTAAAGGTCAGGAAGGAAAGAGCCAACAGTTGTTTTGAGATAGAAAGGAGGGGAATCTCCACACTCTCATCCCATTAGCTCCTGTCTTTGAGGGTTTTGAGAAGGGTCCTGGACCTTCCCCTTGGGTTCTGTGTCCTAGAGTCCGCTGGCACTTGGAGAATCGAACTATGTGGCCACCACAGATGTGACAAGACATTTTCTTTCCTGGGGAGGACKGTACTCACAGGACATGGGCAACTACTAAGCCTCCAGTGCCCGCTCTGCACACAGCACCTGTGAGGGCTGCAGAGGGGGAACAGCAGGAAAAAAAGTCCATTGGGGGAAGTTTGACTACCCCATAAAATAAAGTAGCCTGAATTCGGCACATGGGACTAAGGCCAGAACTGTTGGGAGAAAAACAACATAAAAAAACAGAAAGAAGAGAAAAAGAGGAAGTAATGCAAAAAACAAATGGATCCAGAAGGGCTAGAGAGAGAGCCTGAGGTTCTGACCACAGGACAGTGCAGGCCATTAGCTATGGCAGAAGAGTGGCACATGTGGCTGAAAGCTTGGTCTGACTGAGATGCTCACCAGCCAGACTTCTTGAGAGACTTGTCATGGCACTTCACAAATACTGCGGATCCCTTCCCCTTCTGCAGATGAGCCACCTTCTCCCTGGAGCAGAAGATCACCCTGTGGAAGAAAATGGATGTGAACATACCATGTGAAATAATAAGAACGGCTCTTCAGAACCATGCTGTTCAGTAAGGACTGTCTGGATCCTGCATGATCAGGCAGATGATTGTGTCGATATTTCCAGTAATTGTACCACTCAGGGCACATCTGAATCCAGGTTAATGAGGGCCCAGCCCAGTGTTCAGCAAATGAGCTAGTTTATCAATCTAGACAGGTGTATAGCTTGGTGCAGCTTTAAAGCCACAAGGCTTTCGCTAAGAGATGGCACAAGGTCAACGTCACCACCTCTTAGCATCTGCATTAGGAAATAGGGAACAGGCCTTCAACTGGCCCTGATGGAGAAATAAAGGTTCTTTCTTTTCCATCGACAGCATCTTTTATGGTACAAAAACAGATGATGAAAGAGAAATAATCTCTCAATTCTAATTTAAAGAGTTGGTTTTACTAACAATAGTCATATACTATGGCTTGCAAAATCCCTGCACATGTAGTATAAAAGTTTTAAATCCTGTCTATATAACCCATTTTGTGGATGTCTTACCTACATCCATAAATGAGGAGTGCAGTTGAGGAGACAGGATGAGATGCCCTTGGAATCCCATCCTCCTCGAAGAGATTGGAGTTAGGCTTTGAATGTCAAAGGAACATCTCCTTTGACATAAAATAAGGAGCAAAACAGGGTTTTGGTCAACCAATGCTGAGATTTCTAACTTCTGATCCTAACTGTCACTCCAAATAATGTGAACAACACAGGGCTCATGTTTTCCTTACTTGAAATGCCAAATACTACAGGTTGAACATCCCTAATTMAAAAATCTGAAATCCAAAATCAAAATGATGCCATAGTGGAAAATTCTACAACTGACCTCATGTGACAGGTTGCAGTCAAAATATAAGTACACTAAAAAAAAAAAAAAAAGGATAAAATTACCTTTAACCTGTAAGTATATAAGGTRTATATGAGACATAAATGAATTTTGAATTTAGGTATCCCCAAGATATCTGATTATGGATTCACAAATGTTCCAAAATCAGAAAAAGTCCAAAATCCAAAATACTTTTGGTCTCATTCATAAGGGACACTCAACCTGCACTACACCCCCAATGTAATAACAAAAGAGTACTCCAGAAATACCCTAGGAATAGTTACGTAGGCTCTTAGGATTGAGGATCCACTTTACTAAAGTTTCCCTTCAGTGAAAATTGTAGGTTCCTGAGATACTGTCACCAGGTAATGACATTGGGGGCAGTCTGAAGAGCAGCAGGTGGTGGGGTGAGGGGGAGCAACTGAATTACTTTTTCTGAGTCTCTCCTGCTTTCACTCGGATCTTCTCAATAGCGAAGCGGGAGCTGCTCCACCAGTCTGACCAGCTGAAGTAGGAATCACTCTTCCACTTGAGCTTCATCATTAGCAGCTCCCCAATATCCACCTCCGTGTAAATCAGGAAGGAGTATGTCTTATTGGTGGAAACTTCAGGCCTGAACAAAAATTCAACAAATTTGGTTAGTTCTGTAAACCAGTGTTCTCTCTCTGATTTGTTCACTTCCCAAAATTGTAAATGGCTTTATTGTTTGGGCGAAATTTTAGAAATGCAAAAAATGTCCAGAGCAACACTTATGCTGAATGAATGCATTTAGTGTATTTTTAAAGCTGTCCACACCCCATTGAATCTATACGAACACCCATCCTAATAACATGAACCATCTAYAATTCCTAAGAGGAAAAAATTGATTAGCCAGTCATTGACATTTTCATGTATTCCTTTTCAATTGGTATTGATATGTGAACGTATTTCTACTTAGTCCCAATCATGGTACACATGTGATTCTCCTTTATTCTTTGTTCTCTTCCTATTATCTTTTGCTTTTTGCCATGTTTTAGCTAATTTTCTATAATTACAATTGTTAAAGGGTAGATTGATCTTACTGAAAACAGTAAACCACACTTCACTTACCATAGACACAAGGCTGACCACTTAGTTTCTAATTTACACTAATTGCCAGTGTTATACTTTAAAATTTTTTTAAAGTTTCTATTGACACTTTCTTTAGAATAAATAAACTAAAAACTAAAAATATAAAATAGAATAAAAACTAAAAAAAAATATTACTCCACTACTTACAATTACATTTTATGGTTATAGAAAGTTACTTCCTTGCTATTTTCCTTAACTAGAGGGTTCCAGCAATAAACAATATGCCCAGTGAGGGTTTGTACTCACTCACCAACTCATCAGCACTGGGAACTTGAGAAGATTCGTTTGCTTAGGAATTATCAAAGGATATGGAAAAGTTGCCTTGTGTTTTGTATTTCTTTGATGAGGGGTGAGGGGTAACCCTTTGTCTTGGGCTTCTTACTATTTCTATCTTCTCTACCTATTATCTTAGCATCTATAAAGTGGTTTCCAAAACAAAAAAAACGGATAAAATCATCTTTAACTTGTAATATATAAGGTGTATATGAGACATAAATGAATTTTGAATTTAGGTATCCCTAAGATATCTCACTGTGGATACACAAATGTTCCAAAATCAGAAAAGTCCAAAATCTTTTTTTTTAATGTCAAAACTTTTGAAGGAATTTCATTGTTTTATTTCATTTCTTTGTATAAAAGAAGTAAGCAAAAAAAAAAAAAAATAAGCAGCTGTAAAATGTATTTCTCAATACAAAACAGAGCCAAGACCTCAGTTCCAGAGTTCCAGTTTCAAGCTAGAACTTGTTGCAGGTGTGATTCTGCCTGTTTCTCAGACCTACAGCTATGGCAAGAACCAGTGCCCTGAMCAGCCCCCAGGCAGCAGGCGAGTCCCCAGGCTACTCACAGGGTGAAGGGGATGTTCTCACTCTCAGCCACGGTGCCATACAGAGAGATCTCGAAGGCCTGGTTGGTCTGCGTATTACTCTCCGTCCCAGAAAAATGAATYTTTACTTGGTAGTGGAAGACTGTAGGGGAAGAAATGGGAGCCAGGGCTGGTCAGGCTTCCTGAAAACAYTACCATGATGATGAGGCAGTTCAGACCCACAGAACGTATCTCACAAGCTCCCAAACAGGAAGTGCACACACAGCACCACCCGTGGCTTGGAAAGACTTCTTCCTGCCCTACAGTGTCACACCTTGGAAGTGCAGACTTTGAATGCTACTCCTTTCAGTGAAGTGTGGTTGCAGTGGATGGGAAAACCCCCCGGGTATCTGAGTTGTCCAGCAGTCCTAGATGGAGCACTGGGGAGATTACATCAAGCCCCAAACACCTGGGATGCTTTCTCTGGGACCTCTGCCTGTCTTGGCCACCTTGCCCCTTAGCATCTGTATCAAGCACATTTGGTACCTGTGACCAAGTCACTGAGTGAGAGGGTGTGCCTTCTCATTTCCCCATTTGCCCTCTGTCCCTGACTTCAAGCTCCTTCAGGGTAGAGGACGGTGTCCATCCTCTTTATTCCCCCACTCAGCCCAGGGAGACAGGCAGAAGGCTCACAGCCAACCATCAGTGAGGCCAGGAGCACTGTTTTGAAAGCCAGTCCCTAAAGTGTTCTGATTTAGACACCGATTCAGAGCAGGAATTTGAACTTAGATATCTCATTCCTGCTCTTCACCGATCTCTGCCRAAAATTCCAAGCAAATAGGACTGGGGAGAGGTTAAGGGGATAGAGGAAGGCAGTGGGCCTCAAACACAGCTAATGTGAGGGAGGAAAAGTTATTATAATACTTTTTTTTCTTCTGTATCTCAAGATCCTGGTCATATTTTTTTCTTATTTGTGTTCTGGTAGATGCACTTTCTCTTAAGGTGGGACCCAGATTTCATAAGACGAACCGTTTGGCACAATATAGGCAAATGCTGTTTTAATGCTACCTTGGACATTTATTCTAATGAAAATGGTTTTCGATACATTTTCWTATTGTGAGCTTCCAATGACAAATTGTATTTTACTTTATAGCTAAATAAAATAGATATAGCTATCTCTTTAAATAATAAAAATAATTAGCCAGATGCCTAAACAAAAACAAACAGAAAAATAAAACAACAAAACCCTCCAACCAGTAAAAGATGAAGAGAAATAGAGTTAAAGGCAGCCTTTGCAGGCAGCACGAAAGACAGAGCAGGAGAGGCTGGGAGTGCCCAGGTGCCCCCACAGGGTGCTGATGGCTCCCTGGCAGGCACACTCGGGATGCTAGGGTTGAGTGACCTGTCCATGTCTTCAGAAGTCAGTCTCYTCTGTACCTCACACACTCCTGGTTCTGAAGAATCAGAGAACCTGAGGGTCCCCTCATTGCCTGAAAGGTTTCCCAGAATGACAGATGCTCCAGACTCGATGCCACCAAATGCACCTCTGCAGAGTCTAACAAACCGCCTTACAGACGGCCACGGACAGCAGATACCTTTTACCTCGGGAAACTGTTCTTGAATATCCTGCCTTCGCTCAGGCATCCACGGGGACTCCACAGAARCCAGCTTTCCTAAAATCAGCCCCTTTCACCAGTTATCTGATTACCTCCTCCTACCCCACCGTGGTTTAGGTCTAACCCTAAGCAAGAGGCCAAGTTTGAAGTTTAAGAGTGAAATGAATGGACATATCATAGCGGTTTTGGTATTTTCTTGCCTTCCAGAGATAGTTGAATTCTAAAATACAGGTGGCTCTTGTCTTCACATAAAGCAAACTTTAGAGGTGGCAAACTTTCCCTAAAGGGCCAGAAAGTTAATRTTTTAGACTTTGCGAGCCATATATTCTCTATCTGACCTATTTAGCTCTGCACTGGTGGCCTAAAAGCTACCTTAGACAATAGGGAAATGACTGGTGTGGTCGTGTGCTAATAAAACTKTATTTACWAAAGCAGGTGGTAGGCTGGGTTTGGCCCACGGGCCAAAGTTTGCTGATCCCAGGATRATGGTTTCAAATAAGCTCCAAGCTCAGTCCTGACAGACTGAACCACGATAATGGTCACAGTTACACAGGCCAGTGACAGATGAGGTTGGAAATCCCAGGCCATGCCCTGGGCCACACTGGCCAGGGAATTAGGAGCATCAATGAAGTGGATCAATGCAACTCCCTGTACAGCAACAGAAACACAAATGAGGGCTCAGGGCTCAGCAACATCACCTCATTAACTCTGTTCCGGGGGATAGAGCAGTACAYGTGATGCAGAAGGCACGATCAAGACAGGACTAACTGATTTTCCTTACTTMCGACAGTCCCCGGCTTACCTTTGTAGGGCATCTGAGATCGAGTCTTCAGGTACATTTTGCTGCTCCTTTTGGCTCTGACCTTATTGATCTCGTAGCCCAGATTGTTGCAACGGTTCTTTCTGCAACTCAGGCAGAGTCCCTTCTCAAAGGCTTCCTTGGAGTTGCACCTGTAGGCCTTACTCGGGTTTTCTTCATTCAACAGGGAGTCGATGAAGAGATGAATGGAGCGTTCATGGGAGCACTTCACCAGCTGGTCCACATCTGGGAAAGAGAGACACACAGAAAATCTCAATTMCACAGAAACCCACAAAGGGTGCTTCATTTGGGGTCTAAAATAGGGTGGGTGTGGTATGAGAGTAAATGAGCCTAGGATCCAGTCCTATACATCTGTGATTGTAGGCCCTATTTTAGGAGATTGTCTGGGTGCAGTTGCTCATCYACCTCCAAAATTTTTCAAAGTTGCAAGTTCACAGGTAACTTCTAAGTTTTATGCTGTCTTATCAATATGCTTAAAAAGCCATAAGAGACATCCCAGGTAGAAGTTGACTTCCCTCAGTTATCACATCCTTTTCTTACATAAAAATCGTCTAATAGTGACAGAAAGTATCTAGATAATTGTAGAAACCTACTTCTAARACCACATTAAATGAATAGTATTTTTTCATACATATTATGAATAATTGAGGATTTGTGTTCTTACTAATGCTTTTTTTGGGGGGTGGGGGCTGTACCGGGGATTGAACTCAGGGGCACTCGACCACTAAGCCATATCCCCACCCCTATTTTATATTTTATTTAGAGATAGGGTCTCACTGAGTTGCTTAGCGTCTCACTTTTGTTAAGGCTGGCTTTGAACTTACTATCCTCATGTCTCAGCCTCCTGAGCTGCTGGGATTTCAGGCGTGCACCACTGTGCCCAGCCCCAACTAATGCTTTTTACATCAAATGAATTACAGAAATGATCAATGATGTCMTAAGAACGGATTATCATAAGCTTTTAAAGCAACTGAACACAGTAACATTATGCTACAAGTTCTACAGCATATTGACCAGTCACAGGTGGATCCAATGTCCATAATGTATGCAAAGAGCCCTTAAAAATAAATTTAACATAAGCTGACAACATTATTAAWGCAAATATTAAATTAAGCTAATATTAGATTGTATTTTTCTTCTTGTGAGAGATTTATCGCAGAGAATGGTGATTTTTTTTTTTTATGTACCTGTTTCTTAAAAAAAACAACAAAAGAAATTTGGATGAAGCATACCTCTTTCACTTTCCATAAAATTCTAAATCAGTTCCTTGACTTTGCAACTAGCTTCCAATTATGACAACACAGAGCCAATAACCTTTTATGGTGCTATTTATGGAGGCCAGCAGAGTTTTCCTCCCTAAATCTCGCTTTTACTTTCTCTTACTAATGTAAGAGCAGCACTCAATGTAATCTACAATACCATAAACAAGAAATAAAATGGCTGCCCGCCTCTAATGCAATCATGCTGAATACGGTAGAATGCTTCAGAAACAAATTTTGGACTATGGTATATTTATAGTACTCTCTTTTTTTCTGGTGCCAAGGTTGCAACCCAGACCAAGCCCATGCTAGACAGGCAGTCTCTACCACTGAGCTAYATCTCCAGTCCCAAATGTGTATATTAAAACCACACATTTTRGGGATAATAGTAAGACACTGAGTCAATAAAGGCGAAGAAAAAAAACGCACATTTAACCAGCTTCTAAGTCATATTTACCTCCAAGGCCTCTCTCTGCAATTACACGAATAGCTTCCCCAATGTTGCATCCTGGTTGAAAAGTGCCTCCATTGGGGTAAATATCAACGTGTCCTACTGGCTTCTGGATCCCAATACTTCTGTCCGGAGACCCTCTGGTGAATGTGTGTAAGACGTCTACAAAATCCGCATCATCAGGAGAAAGGCGGCTSGGAGCTTCCGCATACTCAAAGTTAGGTCCAGCTGGGTCCAGGCCTGGATGGGAAAAAAGACCCCACAGATGTTTAAATCCACATTGATTTTAGTCCCCTTTGATATAYACTRGGCACGTGACCAGACCAACACCATACACGTGACTCTTTCACAACAGCGGCCACCTCAACTCTGGTGACAAAGTGAATGAAAGTGCTTTCTTACCAGTAATTCTGTTGACTTTCTTATTGGTCAGACTTCCTGCAATGCCAGCGGCATGGGCTCCAAGGCTGTATCCCAAGAGATGGACGTTGTCCACGGGGTAATTAAATTCCTCCTTCAAAAGAAAAAGGCTTTTATAACTAAAAGAAAGAAAATGAAGGACTGGGGTATAGCTCAGTGATAGAGCACTTGCCTGGCATGCAAAAAACCTTGGGTTCAATCCCCAATACCACAAAGAAGAAAAGAAATAAAGAAAATGAATATAATTATTGTCTTTAAAATATAGACACTACTGTAAATAAATATAAATATACATATATGTGTGTGTGCATGTATATACACATATATATAAACTTTAACCCATTATTCCCTCATCTAGATCATCTAGATATGCTGCCTCACTTTCTTCTTTAAGCTTAGCCATGCCACAACTTCTAATCAGAAACTTCAATAGTGGGAARAGGTCAGAGACACGCATGCTCCAGYCTTCTCATTCAACAGGGCAGAAGCCTAAGGCCCAAATGGGTGATCTGATTTGCCCAAGTTCACTTGCCTGATCGGCCAAAAAAACTAAGAAGAGAAATTTTGTCTTTGGATGATCAGTTCAATAAACAYGGCTCAGTTTTTACTTTCAATTGTCAGTTTTAAATAATTTGGCCCTGTCAGAGTGTTAGCTTTCTTCTAACTCCAAGAAACTTTTCAAAGGTAATTTTCAGAGAATGGCCTGGAAAAGTRGACCATTCTCTGAAAACTGGTAAAATCTGCAGCCTAGCCAAAACTCTGGACCCTGAGTCACTTGGTATCCTATACTATATACCTTTCCAGCCTGTGTCTTCCCAGTTCAATCCCAACCCTCCCTCAAACCATGAGGCAGGATCATATGCATTCCAACAAAAATCTGGATTCTTAATCCCCACTGAGAAATAAAGCCTGCTAATGTTTTTGTCAAAGAGATCAGCACTGTAACAGGAAGCAAAGCCAGGATGAAACCACCCTGAGCCAAACAGTGGGAAGGATCTGGCTGAAGGCACCACCTGCCCACCCTCCCCAAATAACAAGCTTTTGTTATTTCTGCCCRTGTTCTTGGTCTCAGCAGATCTATTCACTGAAAATATCAAAGAAGAAGGCAGAGGGCAGGCAGGGCTATGTATTGGCTTGATATTGGATTATTCTTTATCATAATGCTGCCTTGGACTCAAAAAAATGCTCATGCTCATTTTGAAGATATGAATCACCCCAGAAAACATCCATATCTAAGTGAAAAGGAGAAAGACCCACCCCCTCATCCAGTTCTGCCAAGAGCTCTGTTTTAGACACATGATGCTCCTCCTCCCCGTCTTACCTCCATCCAGTTGATAAATCTGGCCACATCCTTTCCCACCAGCTTGGTGTAGCCTGCAGACACCGGATAATGCTGCTGGGCCCGCGACAGCCAGTCCACCACGATGACGTTGGAGTCTGGTTCCCTCTTATACAAGGCAGCCACAAGTTTGGGCACCCAACTCTCATACATCCCTGTCACCTGGAGAGGATGACAGGAGCTTTCTTCAAAGACCCACTTGTTAGATCCAAAAGCCCAATACACCTACGAACTGGCGAGGAAACCCTCGGCTCACACAGAAAAAAGAAAAACTCCAAGACAGATCAGAAGCTTGTGCTACCCCTTCTGAGGCACATTCAAGAGTGCAAAGGAAGGGCAGATGGAGGTTTATCGCACTTTCAATTTTAAAGCATGTTTTATAAACTCAGTAAAAYTTTAGTAATTTTGACGGTGGAAAGATCAGCCTGAGTGAATTAAGATTCCTGTAGAATTAAAGGCTGTTTTAAGAGAAATTCAGCTTAATCACTTTCAATTTGGCTACTAAATGTTTCCCAACAAAACTGTTTTATGGGATATAAATGCATTTTTTTCTCTCTCTTGTAAGGAATCATTTACATGCAGTGAAGTGCTAATGACCCTTGACGGGTCACACCATAGCCACATAAAGGCGACTCAATTACATACTGAATAGACAAAGAGGATTCTGAGATTCATGTTTAAGGCATCTTTTAATGGGAAACCTGTAAAAATCCAGATTATATGTATTGTAATTCCAATAGAAAAAAAGGAGTGTTGGTTTCCCAAACCAAGGGACTTTGATCTCCCAGGGTGGGTTCTTTCAGATTTATGCTTCTTTGGTTTATCTGTTTGCTAGACCACAAGTATCAAAACAGAAGCTCTAGCTTCCACTTCCGATACTAACTAAGTAAACTGCACAATTTTTCACCAAGTTGCCCTGGTATGTGTTGGAAAAAGGCCAATCCAAGACTCAGGAGATACTGTTTCAGGTTCCTCCTCTTCCACTCAACAACTTCAACCTTGCCGGGCCATATATACCATAAAGGGGTTGGGATCAGGTGATCTGGATGTTCCCCTCCACCCCATACACTTCTCCCTGTGGCCATTCTGCTTCCCAATCTACTTGCAGTGATAAAATGCCAGCTCTGCAGCTATTTTAACATAGAAACTGAAAAAGAAAAGGCACTTTAGGAACTTATTTAAACCTCCTCTGGACATGTCTCAGGGTAGCTGCTTCAAGTCGGGGTGCAGAGTGGGTCTTTGAAGGAGCCAGCTGGACACCCACTGAGGAACTGGTCAGTCAAACCCCCTTCACCCCACTTCCTGGCTGGGGTGCTGGCCACCCTTTGCAGCTGCATCTTAAGATCGGGGAAGATAATGTCATTTCTTCAAAATGAGGTGTTGATGGTTCCTTATTCCAGCCAGCACTGAGGGCCCCCCCACTTCACAATGARAACTCTGTACTTAAAATTAGTAAATCCAAACGAGTGGTGAAGTTCCCAACCAGCTGCCTCTAAGCTGCCCCCCAGGATGTGCCATATGTATGCTAGATGCTTRAGCATCTTTGGGGTGTCTCCTGAGAGGTGGGAGAGTGTCCTCATTTCCCTTGGTCTATGCCCTTGGGTGGCCTAGTTGCTTATCTCAGATAAGATGAGAAAATTGTGTTTGCTCCTGGCTTCTAAGTTTTTCTATACTATCAATATTTCCAAGTTAGGCAATCTATAAAAGGGCAAGTAATCCGATCTACTCTTTCAGAGTCTGATATATTTACTAATTAAGTAACAACTAATCTAATCCTTTGCTTTCTAATTCAACATAAAATACAGATAAAAGGAACCCTGAACAAAGGGAATGAAAAACCCAGGTACCTACTTCCCTCAAATCAGTTCTTATTTTCTGGGTTTTTCTTTTGAGACTCCTCCAATCAGTACTTCTTTTAGAAAACTTTGATAGTCATACACAACGCTGAACCCAGACTGTCTGCCACCTGTACCAGGTGGTTCGACTGAACTCACCAGCAGGTTCATGAGATAAGCCAAGATCAGCGTGTCTGGACGGCTTATCATTGCAGACCAAACAGCTCTGTGCGATTGCAAACTCTGTCCCATGGCCAGCCACCCAGCCTCTGAGGCCAAGCACTCAAAACATCAAGACACACATGTGAAGAATACCCGTGGACTCAGTGGGGCTGTCAGATCAAGGAAAGTAACTGGCACAGTCTTGATAGTGGGTTAGTCATRTTATCTTCAGTAAGAGAAGGAAAGTTTTTTCAAAAACTCTTAAGCACAAAATTCTCTAGGGATAAGACTAAGATGCCTGGAATACCCAATTTATTCCTGTTGCAGAAATGTTTCTATTAAGCTTCAATTTTTTTGAAAAGTCTTGAAAGCCACATTGCATATACACTCAAAATGCCTCTAAAAACATCAAAGTTTCTCTTGTTCTTGTTAAATCTCTTAAAATAYAAAATTATTCATTTTTGGAAATCTGAAATTTTATCATTTGAAATTACTATGTTAATTCTAGTAAATGAATGTCTTATCAGGATAAACATCTTTGTGAATTCTGTTAATAGTTGCTTTCTTTTTCATAAAAATTATGGCAATCATYCTATCATGCCAATAAAAAGACACTTTAGTTTTGTAGGAAAGGAAATCAGGAATAGATGTGTATCATTTTGTAGCTAATTCTTCTCATTAGAATTTCAGATCTATCAAAATTTTAACAAGATTTGACATAACGGAAAGATAATATATCTCTGACAATCCATTTCATAGAAATCCTTTTCAGTAACATTATCCAGTCATTGGGGATTGAAAAATTTAAAAACAAACTAAAGTATCTAAGCAAGAACAAAACATCAGGCAAAGTGACTATTTGATGTATTTAGAGAGGGCTACTCTGTCTTTGTTCATATTTTAAATAAGTAGATTTCAACCCCAGTCTGCACTTCTCCAGCCATCTTGTGTGACAGTCCCCTGGCTAGCCCCCTTTTGTCTCTAGATAAGTTCCCTGAAGTTTACAGGTGAGGTACGAAGTGGAGAAACCTTAGGGAAGTCTAGTCCCACCTCTTTGTCTTACAGATCAGCAAACTCAGGCCCAGAGATGAGAAGTGGCTTGACCACGTCACAGAGCTTGGACTAGCCAAGCCAGCACTGGGACCCACACCTCTCCCTCCACTTCAGCCTCTCCTCAATGACAGGTGTCCTTCTTCAGAGAAGGGCCTTGGGGGCCGTGCTGGATGAACAATGCTCACTCCAGACCTCCCCCAGCCCTGCACAACAATAACACATCCTGCCCTGTCTACAGGCAGAGCCACCTTTTCCCTCCTCATAGGAAGGGCTGCCTCGAGGTCACCAGCCAGGTCCTGTGTTAAAGTGAAGGCTGGCTCTGTCAGAGGAAGCATTCACCAACCTGTGGCTTTGGATTCCACCCTGAGCCCAAACTGCCTTTTCTCACCTTTAAAACAAAGGCACCAGAAAGCAGGCAGAAGTTTGGGCTGAGTCCCCACGAACCAGGGTTCAGTCGACCCCAATCCACCCGCTCCTAAGAGCCCCTCTCACCGTCCAGCCGTGGATGACCACGAAGGTCTTGCTGCTGTGGTTGAAGTGGCAGTGGGCCACAGACTCTGACACTCCAGGAACCAGGTGGCAAGTGTCCTCAGCTGTGTCTTCAGGAGTCCTGAGGGCAAATTTACTTTCGATGTCCTTAAACTCTCTTGCTACAGGGAGAGGAAAAATCAGATAGGAAGTTAACTGGAAGATTGCTTGCTTTTATTTTCTGGAATGGTATGGTGAACCAGCCACCACTGCCAATGCTATTTTTCGTTCCTAAAGTGCTTTATAAACATCAAATGTGAATTTCAAGAGAATGACAGATGCTCTTTTCCAATGGTGACAAGTGGATGGGGATGACCTTAATCATGAGTGAAGCAGTATGGATGTCTCCGGTGTTTCCTGCCTTTTTACATCTCTAATTACATCAAAAAAGTTTTCCCACAATATCATACAATTGGGCCTGTTGGAGAGGTTTTTTTTTTTTCCTTTTCATTTGCATAATTTAAAAAAATATTAGCAATAAGAAAAGTTGGGATTATGAGGAAGCTTTTGTATGGACTTGTTTCTAAACCCATGGCAAGAGAGACTGGCTCTAATGTTTAGAGAAATCATTAGTGGATTGTTCAGAAAGGCTGCCCAGCATCTGAGCCATGGCAAACACTTTCCCCAGACGTCTCTTCTTCTTATATGGTTCCTATCTTCCACACAAAGGCAAAACTTAAAAATAACAGCAAAGTTAGTTGTAGAAGAGTCCACTTTGGTTCTTCATAGTGAATCTCAAACTGGATAAAGACAGAGACCCTAGCTTTTGAAACTATGGACAATAAATCTGAGTACCGTTAAATCTTCGTGGGTATTGTGGACAGTACACATGACATCACAGGGGCACTTGAAGTAACTTACATTGCAAGCATAATCAGACTCTTTTCACAAAGCAGAGCACAATCAAAGGGAGGCTATATTACAGGAAATTATTTAATTCCTTGTGAAGTGAAAAATAAAACTCTRTTTACTATCAGAAGGCAATAACTGGTATTTTTAGACTTCATGATTCCAAACTTTTAGGAGATAAATAGATATATAGGAATATACTAATTTCTGAATCTAAGTTTATCCTTTTTCACAACTTGAAATTTAAAATCTATAATTTTAAAATAACATTGCAAAAGTAGGGCTAGAATAAAAATAAGAATGAGACAGTAATAGGAAAGTATAGACACTGGGATCAGGCTCATTTTGAAATTATCTAAGGACTGGTAAACATTGTCCTTTTTATTATATTTCAAAATCCATTATACCATATTGTGGTTACTTGCTAAGGGACTTCTTATTTGTAACAAAGTGCACCCACATACCACACACACACACACACACACACACACACCTATTACCTAAAATGTATGAGACATTTCTTAATGTTATATTTATTAGAAAGAAGAGAGTTTTGTTACAGTTGCTAATGACTCTAAGATCATTTATTCAAATAAGAGTCTGTACTAAACAGTGCTCTTCAATATTCTTTTCATTTCCAGACAGTGAAACTTCACCAAATCCATGTATCCATCAAGAATCTGCTCCATCTCTCATCTTACTTGAAGATACAGGTCTCCTTGTTCCTTCCCAATCAGAAAATGCTGCTACTTTTATTAGTTAATAGAATAATGCATATTTTAATATAATTCTGTTTTCAGTGCCCAAGTTCTTTTATTTTTAGAAAGTGTTTTAGAAAATGTAAGACTAAATTAATATCACTTGCTCCCACATTTCTCCACCTCAAATAACTCATACCTCCTAACAATCTTATTTTAACATGCTCCATTGTCCTTTTTTTAAAGCATATTTGATCTGAACAACCTGGCAGACAGATCAATCTGGCTTACCATCTATTTGTACATTGCCATTTAAGCCTATTGCCTTGTACAGCTTCAGAGAGGCCAGTTTCCTAGAATTATGCAACTTGGCCCTGGTATTGCTGGTGTTTTTGAAATGTCCAAGAATATTCTCTGAAATTACTAAGACTACTAGCTTTGTGTATTTCCATGAAGAAAAAAAAAAGGTTTATTCGATCCACAGATCCTGCATTAGATTATATGTATGGCTCATTGACAGCTGCAATTTCCTACAGCCAACAAGGCTGTTGGGTCTGTTGCTTGTAGAGAAAAATAATAGGAAACTCATGCATTCTCAAATTTTCATTTGGGAGACTTTCATTCCTCTTTTAAAGGATTTTTTCTTCATTTCAAGTTTGACAGAAAAATAGTGCCACTCTGTGCTGTGTGAGATATGAAGTCATAAATCTTACCACCCGCCTCGCCAGTCCTTGCTTCTCTCTGGTGTGCTAATGGGAATTTTCATACTACCTGTGTTTGCAGTCCCCCAAGGACGACTCAGCAGCCTAAAGATCAATGATTTTCCCCAAACCTCTCTCATCCCTCCAGCGACTACCTCAGACCATGTAGAAACAGGGAGGAAGATGGACCCCAGCTGGTGSTAACACAGTGCTCAATTGTCCCAGYACACCCTGGGGTTGCTACTGGGTGGCAGATGAACGGATGTAATGAGACAGTTACTAAGGAAACTACTGGTTTTCACCCATGGAAATCATGTTAGTGACTCTGCACTCATCTAACTCCACTGTCTTCATCAGGTTGCCTAGAAATCAAGACCATATTAGAGTAGAGTAGAGGAAAAAAGGAGCAAATGAATGAACAAAGGAACCAGGGAGTGAGCCTGAGACAGCCCTCCTGAATTCAACTTACACTCAGCACCACCCTGTTGACCAAGACGCCCAGATGCGTCCTCATTGAGCACACAGAGAGATTTTTGGGGAACAAAGCATGTTASGACTTAATGCATTTCCTACATAATCTTTACTCCTAAATTCCTAAATAGCTAAATCAGAGTGCTTGAGCAAAAAAGCTGTTTATCTTAATATGGTTAATAACTCACAGAGATAAAATTAGGCAAAGTTGATGCACTAAGAGAAATGTTTACAGAGGGAACATTAGTGTTACTAGAAAAGATGGGAGTACAGAACATCCTAGGAATTACTGGGTGGCACTGAAGGCAGATCCCAATCATTAGCTGAACAGGATGGAGACAGGAGGTAGAAGAGCCTTGTTATTAAGCAATAATCTTTGAATCTCTCTCTCTCTCTCTCTCTCTCTCTCTCTCTCTCTCTCNACACACACACACACACACACACACACACACACTCACACCTACAGGACTTTTCCAGTAATTCACTCTCAAGACTGCTGGCCATAGTTATTGACATAGGCAGCGTCTGGAGGACACTAAAGAAAACAAGTTCAATCACCAAACTGGTCACTTGGGAGAGGGGAAATATCAATATTGCCATTTGACCAAAGTGATTAGTGTAGTTGAATATTCCAAAGTGCACAATGCTCTTGCCTTATCTAACAAGCAGATTTATTTTTCTTTTTTAAAGAAAAAAAAATTTTTTTTATTCATGGGGTTGTAAAAAGAAAGACTGTACCTACTACCTGACTTTTCTGTTGAATTTTCTCCAAAATTAGGTCCAAACCTAAACACTACCAAAAACACTACCTAACCACTACCAAAAAGTAGAGCTACAGAAAAGGTTCTGAGATGTGTGTTAAAACTCCCCACTTGAATTAGACCATCAAGTCTGGACAGGAACAAGTCATCATTATCTAGGGACCTTGTGGACTGCTTAATGAAATATTTTGGCTGTCATTATGCAGGTACATTTAAATTAAGATTTTTTAGTTGAAATACAAAATTCTTGTTAATCTGAAGTTACTTTTTCCTTGTTGATAGAGATAGCAAATGGTTCAAACTAACACAATGAAAGTCAATGATGACCTTGCTAACAAGTCTATTATTTGAAGGAAGGGGGGATAAAGAGAGGAACTCAGTACTATCAAAATGCAAGTGCTAACTTGTATGCTTTCCACCATAATTAACTTTGTAAACCAAATTTTTTTTTCAAAAGTAAGTTATCGATTTCAATATATTTATAGCTTGCATTGAGAAACACTAGATTCAGAAGCCCTTCACCATCCCTCCAAAAGAATCTAACTTTTCTTACTACTTAAAAGCTTCTGTAAACTTAAATTGATCTTAGCCAGGATGGCTAAGAAAACATAGAAACAGACTTCACCATCCAAGAAAGACACATAGAGAACACATACAGCAAAGAAGTGTGTACCACGAACTTGGCGATGGGATTAGACCAATGTGGTCATGCCAACCTTTGTCATATTCTGCTAATTAGCAGTAGGTACATTTTTTTTCTATTTCTTCAAAAGTCAAAATCACTGAATCACCTAGGACAGAATTTGATTATTCTGGGAGAACACAGGGAAGAGAAAAAGAATGTTGGCACAAGTTTCAGAGGCTTATTTCCATAGAACTCTCTATATGTACATCTACGTGTATCATCTAAGATAACCCACACCTTCCTTCCTAGTAGATACCCATTTCCTCCATTAGAATGGACTGTCCTTTGTTAGCACTCAAATGGTGTCACTCAACAGAAAGAGACATTCTCAAAGTGACCGCAAGCAGCAATGTGAGTTCTTTCAGTCCAGTAGACAGACTTTACTCACAGTAAGTTTCAAAGTCTTTAGTCTCTGAGTAAACTGGAATCCTATTACTCCTTTAGAAACTAGCAAAGACTTTGACTTTTGCAAAGAGAAAGTGTGTGACAAGAACTACTCCTGACAAAGATTTGCTTACAGATTAAAAAGTCTCTATTACCAAAAAATATTTAGCCCACTATGATGACAAACTATTTTGTGAATAGACTACCCTACCTCTTTATGATGATATTCTTTTTGTTGTAGTTGGAAAGTACATTATATATAAATTCAAATGGTACCTCCATCYGGACCTGGAATCTAATAATATTCATGTCTTGAATACTTCCCCTCTACCTTTGTGACCCAAAGTCATGCTCTGCCCATCACTTTGATGACCCAAACACCTGTACATTTAAGGCAATACAACCTTAGTGATAAAATAAAGTGAGAATAGGTGTTGGTAGAAGAAACGAACAGCAAAATGCGACATGCTTCTAGGCACTTTTTCGAACAATCTGTCATGACAGAGGCAGTGAATTGTACAGAATCTGTGCAGCCCAGCTTCTCCTTCATAATAAAGCAAAAATGGAGGAGTGAGCTAAAAATACACTGCTTAAAAGAAAGTGAAATTTTTCCACTGCAACTCTTTGCCCCTACCTGACTGCCACCTTTCCATACAGCTATTAATCAATCAATCACTCCCTTGCCGAGCTCTGCTCCAGTGGCATTTGCTATTTTTGCTCTCATCCTCCATCCTGTTTAACTCAGGTGTTAGCCTGGAAATTCACATAGAACTGCAGCTGCTGAGCAGGGCTCCAGGGCTCCCCTCTCTCAGCTGGTCAAGTTTCCTGACTGGGGCCCCATGGGAAAAGCCCTAGTGGCTCCCGTGGCAGTGCTTCTTGTCCTCAAGTTGTTCTTAGAAATGGAGAATGAATAAGTCAACTCAGAGCCCAGAGGAGGAGCCGCCAGTCACACACACACACACACACACACACACACACACACACACACACCCCGCCCCAGGCTCCACCTTGCTCTCCTTGACAATCTTCTACTCCTGGATGAATTTATCCAGAAGAGAAAGGGCTGGAAAGTTACTGTGACGAAGGAGACAGAGAGGATGGGTTGGGGTGAAAGTGGAGAGGATGACAGGGAATCCTTTCAAGTCTACTTAGGAATAATCTCCCCTAATACATTTTACATCCAGGATAAGCATACATTGGTTAAAATCCAATTGAAGTAATCGCCTAAGTGTAAAATCAGAGTAAGAATGAGAGGGGCCTGAGAGAACTTTCAGTCTTGTCAACCCCTGAGTTGAAGAATTTAAACCCAGAGAGCTGACACTGACTCAAGACTTTAGGTCCTGAACCTCTTAAGGGGGCCCAGCAAAAACTTTAAATGTGAATGACATAATTCTGTGCGTTTACAGTAAGGTAGCATTATATGATGGCATTGCTTCTGGAATAAGAATTTCGAATGGAGAGTACATGCCACCATTTAAAAACCCTAAATCTCCAGTATCCTCAAACGGATCTGATTAAAAAACAAACAAAATATTTGTCTTTTTTAATCCAATTCTGCTTTGATGGAATCTCCTCCTTTTTAATCCAACAAAAATGTTCTTGCATAACTTAATGCAGACATAAAACGAGCTTCAGTGTTAATCACAAAGACTGAACTATAATGTGGACTGCTGAGGACTTGCGTCCCCAGAGCACATCCTTAATGGTAATTCCACCACCCGGGAGAATAGGAAATGTCGCCTGCTTTTGACTTGCTTCAGTGCTTTTTAAGCTGCTGCTGCTGTGTTAGCTAAACCAAGGTTCAAGTTACACGGACTCTCAATTGTGGGCGGGTCTCGGGCTGGGCTTTCCTCTTCTCCCCAATAAAGAAATTCGCTTCTGGCCCCAGACGCCTTCACCCTAGCTAGGAGAGCCGGCGGCGCCCGGCCGGTGACCGCGGTTCCGCCCTCGACCTCCCGGAGGCGCCCGCAAACCCCACGTGCTCCCCAGCCTCTCGGAGGGGCTGGGCGACCCGAATTAGTTTCAGATCGAAGAGAGAAGGAATGGCCAAGTGTAGACCTGGCAACCCCAAGTCGGAGGCCACAGATTGCTGGTCACTGCGCCACGTTTTCGGCAGGGTGGGCTCTTCGATAGGTTTTCTGGGCACTAAGAAAAGCGGAGCGTGCAAGCGTGGAAGCTGGAGTGTTTCCCGGCGCCCCAAAGCGTGCAGGACGCTGCGTCCCCGGGACTCCACGCCACGCGTCCCCCGTCCGCGGTCACCCGCACTTGCACCCAGAAAACCCAGCCCAGTTACGCCGAGACCCAGAGTGCCCTGTGCAGCTAAAATGCCAACAACGCCCTCGCCCCAGGCCAGCTTCCCCAGAAGGGGCCACTGCCTGCCYGCGCTTCCACAGGCTGGGGCCCAGCGCGTTCCCAGCCAAGTCGGGGTCACCTTGGCCCGCGTGCCTTTCATGCCAGCCCCCTCTCCCGTCCGGAGGTGATTGCAGGTCACAGCCACAGCGCCCTTTCTCCCCGCCTCCTTGGTCCTGCGCGTCACACCCAGGACCTCTCCGGCTGAGTCCGAGAGCCCGGGAACGCGGCTGCGGCCAGAGAGGAAGGGACAGCGCGGGAACCCGAGAGACCGAGAGAAAAAGCGGGAACTAGGAACCGCTGCAGGATGATAGCAGGCAAATTCCTTCCTGGCTCCTCCTAGATCCCATTCTGGTGACCCTTCCCAGGTCCCTGGTGCGCATCCSCAGCCCCTTTCAACTTTCTCCTTCTCATCCTTAAATCGTGTGGAAGCGGCCACTGGAGGGGTCTGCAGGTGGAGAGGAATTTAAGCACAAAACATACCGTCGGCGGCGGCCACCCCTCCGCGGGAGGCGGTCAGACTCTGGAGCCACAAGCCCAGGACCACCAGGAGCAGTGCTTTCCCCTCCATCTCCGGGCGTCCTTCTGTGGAAGCTGCACGGCGCGGGCTGGTGCGCCGACGGGCTGATGCACGGGCTGAGCAGGAGGCGGGAGAAGGCTGGGGCCGCGGTGGAGCTCAGAGCAAGTCGCCCTTTAAAGGGGAGGGTAGGGCAGCTAGAAGGGGCAGATTTCCTCTGAGGAGGAGGAAGAGGAGGAGGAATTGAGTCTGACACTGTTTCCACTCCACGGCTGCTTATGTGACTGGAAATATGCAAATAAACCTCATCACCTATTGGCTATAAAATCATAAGTTGGGGGGAGGGCCCTAAATTCACTTCCAAATATTTGAGCAAACTGTAATGAGGATCAACCCTGCCAGCGAGAAAGAGGGGAAAGGGCAGAAGGGAAATTTTGCTTCTTGTTAGGCTCCCATTTGCCTTCCCGAAGGGGTCTACTCCCCAGTCCCCCTGTATAGGCACCGAACACGTGTTTATTTATCTTTATGTTAAATATTCAGTGATCACCAGTTTTCCAGAGAAAGGAAACTTTGCTTTTAAACTACATTGAGGCAACGGTTTAATCCACTCCTCTTTCGATGAATCCTGTTTGTTAATGTCCCAAAGAGTCAATGTAGAGATCCAGGGACACAAACACTGCTCACCAGATTGTGCTTCTACAATCTGATATTTTAGCTTTGGCAGGATGCATTAGTTTATGGGGTGGAGAAAAGCTCAGTTGATCTAACTAGTTTCTAATTTTTTTTTTTTTTGCCACAGGCAAATTATATTCAATCCTCATATTTGTCGAAGAATGCAAGAATAACATTTTACCTTCAGAGGCAGAACACCACGATCAAATAATTTTAAACTATACCAAGTTATAAAGGAAAGAAGCTAGTTTGTGATTCCAAATCTACAGAGACAGAAAGTAAATTAGTGATTGCCTKCGGCTAAAGAAAACCTAAGAAGTTTGAGGAGCTTGGCTGGGGTGATGCAAATGTTCTAAAATTACATTATGGTAATGGGTGCACAATTCTGTAAATGCACTAAAAACTGTTCAATTGTGCACATTAAATGGGTGACCATTAAGCTATTTTCAAAAGTGGATTGGGGCATGTGCATAAAGCAAGAAAAATAAAATCATATTGGATACTGTACCTTTCTGCCAAAATGCTCAGGATACCTTCAAATATCTTTTTAAATGAAAATAATTTACACTAGCTAGGAAGGGCAATTAACACTATGATCCCCACCTTGCAGTTAAGAAACTATCTTGTAAAATCAGAACCTTCAATTGGCTCTTTACTGGTCTGATTATCTTTAATGTGTCCTTCCGGTGTCTCCTTTCATAACATACAATGTTAGAGGATGAAAGACTATATAATTTAAACTAGAGTTTTAAAGTTTTTCTTTCAAAAATAAAATAAAAGCTAATAATGCCCCAATAATTAAAAGTTTGCTGTTCTGTGGAATAGTGTTCTCCTTAAGTTAATTTATTCAATAGCATAACGCTGTGTGTTATCTTTTATTGCAGTTATGAAATAATATACTGTCCACATTATTTTTATTTTATAAAGTACGTAGAGAATCTTGAAACCTGCCAAGAATTAAACCCCACAGGACAACTTTAGAAGTGACAACAGACAACATGGACGGAWAACTATGATGTAGCCATCCACCAAATTACATAGTAAACTAATTTCCAAAAAGGACCCAGGATGAGTCGAATTGCATGGGATGTGCTCCAGGTGTAAAAGACATAAACAGAAGTTCAGAAATGCCTACTATTCTATACAGAGCACTCATGTAGTCTATTTCCATGCATAAATACCCTTCAGAGGATAACCAAACCACACAGCATGCATCAGAGGAGTGCAAGATTTTACATGATTTCTAAAGGGAAGTCTGGTGTTTATAGAGTATTTTTAAAACACACAGGTTAAGAGAAAGTCAAAGCACTTAAGAGTTGGAGCACATTTTTTGTTTTTACACATGAAACCGGTTTTGGAGTGGCCTGTGCTGTTACACTGCATGTTCATTAGCGTTGCAGAGATTTCCAGGAAGAACTAATTCAAAGCAACTCAGCCTGTTAAGGAGCAGACGGGCTGGCTCCTCTCCCGGGCTTAAGCGGTGGGCAGGTGGGTGTGGCGGCAACGCACTCTCCTGATTGGCTATGCTGGGAGCGATCAGGTGCCTGAGTTCTCACGCAGAGACTCACAAGAGCACCAGGTCAGGATTGCTAGTGCTTTAGGGAAGCGCCTCCTGTCCAAATTTCAACAAGGTTATCTAGCCAAGGAGAGCTTGAGGCTTGGCTTTTTCCAAAATTGATGCTTCCTTTATAACAGACTCAAAAAGCTTTAGGCCATAACAATTAAGCACTTTATAAACGTTTCACAAAACAGTACTCTTGAGGAAGGACACTTGTGCTAGGCATACATTAAAAAGATGTAAGGAAAGTTAAATGTTTATAGCTAATGAAACAACTGACATCCCAGATGTAAATAATCATTATCTACCTACCCAGCTACCTACTTACCGTCTATTGTTTTGATTGACTGCCTGCCATGTTCATTCCTTTCTGCATTTAACCATGACAAAAGTGCCTATAATTGAATAATATTTCCATTGGACAAATGAGGGTAGTTGAAACCACAAAAAGATAAAATTACAGTAACCACAAATCATACAGTGTTTTTTCTTTGATAATCCCAGGAGAGAAAGAAAATGTATTTGGTGTGTTAAACTTTGATGTTGCTGTAATTGCAAACCAGAGAAGGCTGGGAAGCAGATGCTTTTGTACATGCATATTTTAATGCATATTTTATTGTGGTGTTTTTGCTAAACTAAAACATGATGACATGTCTATGTAGGCTCTAATAAGCTGGTTTTGAAGTGGATCTGGTTTCTATTACAAAAAATTATATCTCATGTAGGAAGAAAATATGGCTAATACAAATAATATTTACAAGTACAAAAGTATTTTGAAGTCTATTGACTTTTTAAATAAGGAAAAAAACTAAGATGTTTACTAAAACTAAGGCCTTTGTCTAAGGACTTTTCCTTCAGTACTCACCCACATTATGGGAGATGCCACAAACTGATCAAACAGAGGTGATAAAGCAGAGGTGAACAGCTCTGGATATGGGATCTGAGAATGAAGCTTTCTTACTGAGCAGTAGAGACACAGGTCTTACAGATCCTTTTAATCCATTGCCCAACAAAGCTATGCTGAAGAATCCCAAATAGCTTATTTCTGGAAAGTGAATCTCAGACAGCATTCAATACCTTTGCCAAAGTTGGGTGCCATGATCTGAAAAAGTTATAAGTACAAATAAATATTATATTTAGTCAATTTCCTACTAACGCCTTTCCCCACCAGGACTGAGATAAGGGATCAGGGTAATTTTGTTTGCTTGGGGCCAGGGGAGGGTTGTGGTGTAAAATAGGGTCATGGTGTAAAATAATCTAGATAGGCTTTAAGTCTTTTATTTTTCTTGATGCTTATACTTATACAATTCCTTTTAAAAATAATCAAAAGCCAACAATAGCATATATGTATATATGAAGCCATATTTAATATCAGCATTAAAACATTTATCTGAATAAAGTTAAGAAGAGAAAGCAATGATATTTTTTAGAAAAGAATTTTTAAAACCCAAAAGGCAACATATTACAATGGTATGTCCAAAAGAAGGCTTTGTGGTGAATGGGAGAGGACAGAAGATACCAGACAGATACTGTCACAGAGGAACTATGGGACCAAGAGGCAGAAGGATGTAGGCTTTTTGTTAAGACACAGCCCACAAAATCTAAAAAGAATGTCCCACAAATAACACAATAAATTTAAAGCCCATGTTCATTTATCAGCAAATTCTTTTTTTTTTCTTGCCAAAAAATAAAACGCAAAACAGAACAACTTATGTACATGTAGGAGATAAAAGAAGGCATGAGTGCATTTTGCTGAGTTTCACCCTTAGTGGTCTGAAGTCAAGCTTGGCCTCAGCCTGGCTGAGCAGAGGATGTGTTGGAGGTGCCCCCTGGTGACTTCCTGGAGCTACTGTCACATCTCTAAAAAGCCATTTTAAGAGCTTGAAAGAATTGACAGGATTAGTAAACTCTAGCATTGTTACTGAGGTTTCCTGTTCCTTTTGTAACATGGTAGAACACACTGGTCTCCCCAGCCCCAGGCTTCCTCCCAGAACACCTAATGGTGCTGGGAATTAGGAAATACTTGATCAATGGGTGGGACATTAACATGGGGGATTATAAATTATAACAGGATGATAAATTTTAATTTTCTACTAGATTTATTTATTTATTTATTTTGGGGGGCGGGTGGTACTGAGGATTGAACTCAGGGTCACTTGACCACCGAGACATATCCCCAGGCCTATTTTGTATTTTATTTAAAGACAGGGTCTCACTGAGTTGCTTAGCGCCTCACTTCTGCTGGCTTTGAACTCTCGATCCTTCTGTCTCAGCCCACCAGCCATTAGAATTACAGGCTTGTGCCATGACGCCCCGCATAGATTTTTTAATTATGAAACTTCAACTATACACACATGTACACACACACACACACACACACACACACACACACACCTTGCTATAATCTAATCTATGTAGGCCAAATCTGGGTTAGAGAAGGGAGGCCAACTTCATTTGACTGGGCACTTTGCTAGCCTCAATTCTTTATCTTCTTTGTTCTAATTAACTCTTGAGTTTAAAAAGTAATAAAATTATTTATCAAAAATAAAATAACAAAATTTCAATCAGCACAAATGTGAATACAATCAAACAAAAGTCTTTCTTTGACCTCTGATTTCCAATCCCTTATTCTTCCCACTGGATAGTTGTAGTTCCTTTGTGTATCCTTCCATAAAAGTCTATGCAAATACAAGCATCAATATGTATGGAAAAGTGTGCATGTCCCTCTCCATTCTCCACACATATATTACTTATTTTTTACAGTAATGTAAGCACATCATAAGCCCTGTTTTGCAATTTGGATTTTAAGTCAATA